CTCATTTTCCCAGTCGAAAGCTGGTTCATAAGCAGGTAGGGGAGATTGGCCAAAACGCTAAACAAGTCATTAAAATTAAGGAGGAAAAAGAGAGAAATCAACACCTCACAATAATTAATACATAAACAAATAAAACCAATAGCCAGATAAAAGTGTTACACAGCAAAACCTGAGAAACATGAGAGTCTGCAAATTGGCGTCCAGAGCTACTTGGGGTGTCATCATCAGTAGCATCTTCACCCTTGGTTCGCCTTGCATTTGCAAGGTTCATTTCTTCAGAAATTTGACATGAAAAATGGATTAAATGGTTAACAAAATGTCAATGCTCTTGGAATCAAATCAAATCAAAAGCAGATGAACAACAGTCTCGATATCAGTATTGGGCCCCTTAAATATTTGATTGTGAAAGTGAGGAGGACTGACACTTTCATAATGCCATACTTGCTCTCATCTTTCACCCAGTCACTTGTGTAGCACTGAAGCAGTTCGTTCAGATGAGGCCACTGCTCCAAATTTGACATGAAAAATAGATTAAATGGATAACAAAATGTCAATGCTCTTGGAATCATATCAAATCAAAGCAGATGAACAAATTGTACCAGTCTCGATATCAGTATCGGGCCCCTCAAATATTTGATTGTGAAAGTGAGGAGGACTGACACTTTCATGGTGCCCATACTTGCTCTCATCTTTCACCCAGTCACTTGTGTAACAAAGGAGAAATAAAACCCATAAATAAAAATAATTTTGCCCATAATTGTCAAGAAATAAAACCCATCAATAAAAATATCAAAAGAAAATCCCTTACTACCAGTTTCCGGAAAGACTGTCTGAGGGCGTAGCAAGTAACTCCGATGAAATCCGGCATAAGACTACACTGGCGGAGATGTGCGGGAAGAGGCTGAACGTTGGGGACTCTGGGTTGGACTTTTACCCTACCTCAAGTCTATATATTTGATGCCTTCACATCTCGATGATTGGATCCATCTTCATCGTGCTTATCATCATCATCATCTTGATTATCCCTTTTGAGGACAACTATGATGCTCTCACAAGCTCTAGGGACGTATCCAAATCCTTCGCATAAAAAACCAGATACTGTCTCATACTGATGTTCCTATAGAACAGCATTGGTGAACAAAGAAATGATGAATAGAGATATGAAATTTACAAGTTAAGGACACTTTGATAATTATTTATAAATGTGAGGGTAATTGTGCCTTTACTCCAAAATAATACCGTTGAATACCGTCCAGTGGAATGTGCTTGGGACAATGGGTTCTATATTCCAGGTCCCCTTCTCCCCCTTCCCCAAAAAAATTTTTCACTGTTAAAAAAAAATAAATTGAATACCACCTTCCGCTTTTACCTGTTTACTTTATCCTCCCCTTTTTCTTTTTCATTTGTTTTTTGTTTTCTTTTTCT